AAAAAAAAAAGCACCTTTGGGACAACTTAAGATACACTTTAAAGCAGTGGCTCTCAACCTGTGGGTCGGGACCCCATTTGGGGTCGAACGACCATTTCATGGGGGTCGCCAAACAACACCCCTTTTCCTTAGCTGTGCTACTCCCTTTTATTCTATTGGCTTTTGAAAGACAATAGAATAGACTCTCTTGAATAGAGTCTAATTCTATTGGCTTTCAAAAGCCATTAGGAATTGTCCAGGCTGTCTCTGCCCTGCTGAGCCCGCCAAAAGTCCCATTCTGCAAACGGTGCTGCACCAGTTGCGTAGTCCTCGACTTACGACCGGTTGAGTAGTCCTCGACTTAACGAGCGGTTGGGGGTTGTGGCATTAAAAAGGTTGAGAACCACTGCTTTAAAGGATGTTTCTAATTGTATCATCCTTTACATAAATTACAGCATCACTTACCCTTACAGTGAGATGTATATTGGCAAAATCACTAGAGCACTCACGAAAAGATTATTGAGCAGCTATTGGAAATCAAATGTGCAAAAATGGATATGTTTTTGGTGAATCATTTCATGCCGCATTCTCTCTTAGATCAATAGATTTACTGTTTTGGAGGTGGTCAAGCCCTCCCTAATTTATTTGAGTTAATTTGGATGGTAGAGAACATTCATTATCAACAGAATCCAGGCAGCCTAAATGAGAATTCCTATTTACATGAACTTTTGAAAGTTTGAGCACCCAACAATCTGAAATGGATCTCACTCGTGGTAATAAGTCTTGAATCACATTCTGGAATCTGAAGATGAAAGAGTATTTGTGAAAGGCGGTTAGGAACCAAAGATTGAGAAATTTTTATTGGTTTTAAGGGATAAATATGCCAGCTGTGAGACTGGCAAAGAAAACAATTAGACCTATTATATATATATATATATAAAAAGGTGGGCCTTGGGGATGTCATGTTTACTATTTCATTGCCTAAATGATAGATAAGATGTTATCACGTGCACTTTATAGATTTATTTCTGAAGACTTTATGTACAAACTGAACAGTTGGCCTGTGTGTAGTAAAAGAAAAAAGGACTGGATTTGTTTGATTAGATAAGAGCTTTATCAGCAATAAGACGGAAACAAGTTCATTGCCAGAGTGGCAACTTCATGGCAAATAGAATAGAATAGAATAGAAAATATAGAATGGAATAGAATGGAATGGAGGGGAGGGGAATGGAATGGAATAGAATAGAATAGAATAGAATAGAATAGAATAGAAAATAGAGTAGAGTAGAGTAGAGTAGAATAGAATAGAATAGAATAAAGAACATAGAATAGAACAGAATAGAATAGAATAATAGAATAGAATAGAACAGAATAATAGAATAGAATAGAACAGAAGATAGAGTAGAGTAGAATAGAATAGAATAGAATAGAATAAAGAACATAGAATAGAACAGAGTAGAATAGAATAAAAGAATAGAATAGAATAGAATAGAACTGGAAGGGACCTTGGAGGTCTTCTAGTCCAGCCCCCTGCTCAAGCTGGAGACCCTATACCATCTCAGACCAGTGACTATCCAGTCTCTTCTTTAAAACCTTCAGTGATGGAGCACCCATGATTTCTGAAGGCCAGCTGTTCCCCTGGTTAATTGTCCTCACTGTTAGGAAGTTTCTCCTTAATTCCAGGTTGCTTCTCTCCTTGATCTGTTTCCATCCATTGTTTCTTGTCTTGACTTCTGGTGCTTTGGAGAATAAATTGACCCCTCCTCTTCTTTGTGGCAGCCCCTCAAGTATTGGAATGCTTCTATCATGTCCCTTAGTCCTTCTTTTCTCTAGACCAACCAGACCCAGATCCTGCAACTGTTCTTCATAGATTTTAGTCTGCAGGCCTTTAATCATCTTAGTTGCTCTTCTCTGCACATTTTTTTCCAAAAGTCTCAACATCTTTTTTTTGTATTTTGGTGACCAAAACTGGATGCAGCATTCCAGGTGTGGCCTTACTAGGGCTTCATAAAGCGGTACTAGACAGCCTACTTGACAGAAAGAGACCTTCTTACAAATAATGAAGATCTTCCAAACTGTTTTAACCAAGGGTTTGGAAGATAGCCAGGGCGATGTCTGTAGTGACCTTGAGGTTACCACAGGTCTGTAGGAACAGATTGCTCTTCTACTGATGGTTCTTTACTGTACTCGCGTTCAGCTTGTTTATTAAAGCCATAATGTTCTCTCAGATTTGCTCCTGCAGGTTTTTCTGCTGTTCTCGGGCTAATAAATTGCATTCTTTGCAAAATAACACAAAAGGACATCGGCCCGGGAAAAATACAAATGTAATACTGTGCAATTGTTATTACAACATCATTGCTGCTGTAATACATTTTTTTCTTTCCTAATGTCCCCAGAAAAGTCTCTCCCCCCACCCTATTAATTCATTCATAGAATTCTTTTGTTCCTTCTTCTTGCTGCAGGATTTTTTTTTCCTCTTTCAATTCTGCTGATTTACAGGTTAGGTTTTTGCAGAACGTCTTCACCCCTCATGTTTGCGATGCCTTTTACAATCCTTCAATCCTCCTTCAATCCTCCTCCTCCTCCTCCTCCTTCTCCTCCTCCTCCTCATCATCATCTCTATTTTAATAAACCCTCCCGTACAAAGTCATCTCTAATGCTTATATAACACTGTATACAGCAAAACATTCATATGGAAAAGGTTTCTGAAAAGAGGTCTAAAATAAAAATAGACAGTTGAAAATATAATCGGTGAAACTATTCCAGAATAATAGAATAACGGAGTTAGAAGGGACCTTGAAAGTCTTCTAGTCCAACCCCCTGCTCAGGCAGGAAACCCTATATACCATTTCTGACAAATGGTTGTCCAATCTCTTCTTGAAAACCTCCAGCGATGGAGCATCCACAGCTTCTGGAGGCAGGTTGTTCCACTGGTTAATTGTTCTCACTGTCAGGAAGTTTCTCCTTAGTTCTAGGTTGCTTCTCTCCTCCATCATTTTCCATCTGTTGCTTCTTGTCCTGCCTTCAGGTGCTTTGGAGAATAGCTTGACTCCCACTTCTTTGGGGCAGCTCCTGAGATATTGGAAGACTGCTATCATGTCCCCCCTCATCCTTCTCTTCATTAAATTAGACATATCCAATTCCAGCAACCGTTCCTTATATGTTTTAGCCTCCAGACCACTAATCATCTTTGTTGCTCTTCTCTGCACTCTTTCTAGAGTCTCAACATCTTTTTTACATCGTGGTGACCAAAACTGGATGGAATATTCCACATGTGGCCTTACCAAGGCCTTGTAAAGCGGTATTAACACTTCACGTGATCTTGATTCTGTCCCTCTGTTAGTGCAGCCTAGAACTATGTTGGCTTTTTTGGCAGCTGCAGCACACAGCTGGCTCATATTTAAGTGATTGTCCACTAGGCTCCCAAGATCCTTCTCACAGGATCTATTGAGCCACGTACCACCTATTCTATACCTATGCATTTGGTTTTTCTTGCTTAATGTAAAACAAAATTCCACAAGGAACACTCCCCCATGAATGCTGGCAAGAAGGCATTCTGAAGTTCCAAGCATAAGCTGGAAAACCTCTCTCTGTGAAATCATGGATTGATTAGTTCACTAGCTATCTAAGTATTTCCATCAATATCTTGATTCCAAGTTGCTTGGGCCTTAACCATCATAATTTAAGCCTTGAACCTTGCCAGTTGTTTCAGCGCTGCTGTCCAGGTTGAAGCTCTGGATGAGATACAGGGGTAACCTACTAAATTTCCCATCCCTACCCTACAATTTGTGGTTTTCAGAGGACACAGTGTAAAAGTGAAAACATTCTTTAACCACCTTGGAAGAAATCTGACTGTGTTTTGTTGAGGCTGCTCTAAACAAGACAGGCCCTCAATTTTCATTTTTCCTTTCTTCCTAGCTGGTGGAAAAATCACGTGCTGACCTCTTTTTCAAGCCACTTTCTGTCACCAGCCAAATCGCACACGATTATGAGGAGCTGTCATTTCCCCTTCTAAATCGATGAAAGGAAAAGCCGAGTTGGAATATAAAGTCCTGATTTGAAACAGCCCCAATGAAGTCATAAATATGGAAACTTTCAAGTGTGCATTTCTTTCTGAAATTAGATGGTGGATGAAGCAATAAGATTAATAGCTTGCTCCAGCCCTGTCTTTCCTATGATGTTATCCACAGTAGTTTGGGTAATGAAACATCTGCAGGAAAACCACCAAGCTCAGAGAGCACCAAGGACCCCACAGTAATCTCCTCCTCCTCCTCCTCCTCCTTCCTTCCTTCCTTCCTTCCTTCCTTCCTTCCTTCCTTCCTTCCTTCCTTCCTTCCTTCCTTCCTTCCTTCTAGCACTGATGATGTTGCCTAGTTGGGTCATGAAACATCTGCAAGAAACAACCAAGCTCAGAGAGCACCAGGGACCCCACAGTCTCCTCCTCCTTCTACTCCTTCTCCTCCTCCTCTCCACAAACCCCACTCCTTTCTAGCACTGATGATGTTGCCTAGTTTGGATAATGAAACGTCTGCAAGAAACAACCAAGCTCAGAGAGCACGGAGGAGCCCTCAAAGGAAAAGATGTCGCCTAGGAAACAGATAAGAGAGAGAAGAGCCCCCAGTGGCTTAACAGTAAGAGAAAAAAGATCTTGCAAAGTTGGGATTGATCAACTGAACTTTTTAATCCCACCCAGTCTGCTGTTATCACCGCAGCCATGCCCACCCAATGGGCCACACCCAGCCAATGGTCATGTCCACCCAACGGGCCACGCCCAGCCAACTGGCCACACCCACCCAACGTGCGACACCCACCCGGCACCCAATGATACAAAAGTGGGTTTGGGGTTGCAGTTTGGGCACTCAGTCTCTAAAAGGTTCGCCATCACTGACTTAGCCAATGTCTCTTTCCATGTGGGTTAGTTTTTAGTTGCAGAGTCTTTCTTGCAACATGAGAAAACACACTTTTTCAGTGATTTTTTTGACCTTTTTACCTTTTAAAGTATTTATTGCAGTAAGCCTTACCTGGGTGGAATTCTGGGCCAAGGAGAGCTGCAGGTTCCAGTGATTTTTCACAGCCTTTTAAAGTATTTATTGCTGTAGTGATTGAACGGTGTTGTTCTGTCTCATTTCAGCTGCTGCAAAAGATGTTTGTTACAAAATACAAATAAGAACACTCTGCCTACTTGATGAACTCGATAAACGACAATTAAAAATGTGCGATTTCTCTTAGCTTTGTTGCATTCCTTATTTTAGCCCTCTCAAATATAATTTGGGTGGGAAAAAAAGCAGCCATACCTTCCGGTTGTAATAAATTCATGAATAACCTTTTTCTAAATATTCAGTTTAACTAGTAGCCGGAAACAAAAATGAATGTCTGAGCAAAAGACACTAAAAACGGTTGTGTTGGAAACTTTGGTGACTTGTTAAAAATTGGACGAAGCCTGCCAACTTTTAAAAGTACGTGATGTTGAAAGACAGCTTACAGGGAAATTACCTTGCCTGTTCTCTTTGTTAATGGACTTTCCTTGAGCAGGTTTTCTTTGAAATATGAAAATTACAGGTCAAGAGTAAGCAGGAATCTGTATAAATCTGTCCTGGACAATAAGACATTTCATTTAATGCTTCTTTTTTTCTATTAGGAACTGTTAGCTGAAAAGCTGGTAGGAAAAGATACCTCCTTTGTAGCAAGTGGCAGCTAGGAAGAATAAGATATTTGCCAGTAACAGTCCTAGGTTTTGATCCTGGTCCTTGTGGAAAGATTGCTGTTTGGCGTTTTGAAGTCTGGAAAAAAAATTAAGAGGAGGGTCTGAAAATAGGACAAATGTCAGGGGAGACAGAAGGAAGTTTCCAGTCCTTTCTGAGGCTGTAAATTGAGAAAGGTTGTATGTTCCCATAATCAAAGTTTACTTTTCTATCTCTCTTTGTTCGGGAGCGTACAATGCTTCCTTGTTTTCAGAGGAAACAATCCGCTAAGGACATGGCCTAATTAGCTTCAGAAAAAGAAGCACTTTGCATTCAGATCAGGTGGGGGGGGGGAAATAATATTGAGGGACCCTCCCTATCGTGTCTGGTGGGAGACAAGACTCAACTTTTCTCTGTCTTTGGGTCTTGACTGAAAACAACTCAAAGGCGTAAGTGTGCATGTTGTACGATATCAGACGAGATCTGCTAAATACACAAGGTGAAATAAAAATGCCAGTACGGTGCAAAAGAAACATTGACTTAACAAAGTTTAAAAGGTCTATCGAATCATCAAAAGACCGGTTTTGCTAGAAGCGAGTCCAGCCTTCGCGTAGGATAGAGTTAAGGTCTTCATATCCAGACTGCAACAAACATGACAACTCTCTATTGCTTGCACAAATGGAGCTGTGCACTCGAGCATGCTCACCCGCTGCTTGTGCAAGTTGAGTGCTCACCTGCCACTTTGTTGGCCAGGTTCCAGGTTTGGGGGTTAGGGACCCCTGCCTTAGATGTCTCCATCTCAGCTTTTGCAGGTGTAGACAGGCTGAGAGTTCCTCTTCTACTGATGAGTTGAGAAGAATACCTAAAAAGTGATTTAAGACATGGTACGTTCTTGTCTAGAATTGACAGACTCCAACCAAATCTGACCTGGAAATTCTGCAAGCAACACGGAAATACAAGTCAACCAATGGAAATAATCTAATGACGTGGCTTCTTGTATCTTGTGTGGATCCTTATATCCTTGGATTGCAAGGAGATCCAATATGTCAATCCTAAAGAAACAGTCAACCCTGACTGTTCTTTGGAAGGACAGAGACTGAAGCTGAAACTCAAATATTTTGGCCACCAAAGGAGAAGAGTCCTTGGAAAAGACCCTGATGTTGGGTGAGATGGAAGGCAAAAGGAGAAAGGGATGGCAGAGGAGGAGATGGTTAGTAGTGTCATCAAGGCAATGAATTTGGGAAACTGTGGGTGAGAGTGGACAATGGGGGCCTGGCATACTATGAGGTCATGAGCAGTTGGATACAACCAATCAGAATAGAATTGGAAGGAACCTTGCAGGTCTTCTAATCCAACCTCCTGTTCAAGCAGGTGACCTTAGACCACTTCAGACAAGTGGCTGTCCAGTCTCTTCTTGAAAACCTCCAGTGATGAAGCACCCACAACTTCTGGAGGCAAGCTGTTCCACTGGATAATTGTCCTTACTCCTTAGTAGAACTGATGATGTTACCTAGTTAGAGTCATGAAACGTCTGGAAGAAACCAAGCAAGCAAGCTCAGAGAGCACCAAGGACCCCACATTTCAACCCTGATCTACAAAAGTTCTCCTTCATTGTGCTCACTGTACATTACAACATAGTGACTGAACAACAAAACCATGTGTGTTACTGGTTTAATTCAAATGCAGATTGTTGGTTTGTCTCAAGGCATTTTCCCTAGATTATTCTTGAACGTGTACTTTCAGGAATTAAGTCTAGTATAACTGAGTTGCCGTAAAGAAACTGATAGATAGACTGTGGTTTCAACAGAAGCCACATGCATGCCCACCTAAGGTTCAAGTTCATGCAACGGTTCCATTAGCTCAAGGGCCACATCGCACACTAGCCAACATGGTGGGAAGTTCACAAAACCAAAAACCCAATATTATAGGAGACTTTTCCAAGGTCTGAAGGAATGGAATCATGTCTGCCAGCCATAGATGCAACACCACAAAAGGCAAGGTTGTGAAAGGACACGGAAAATCAGCAGAATATAGATAAGAATGCTGGGTGTGGAAATCTTGAGCTGGGTGGGGTGGTTTTTGTGGTTTTTGTTGGTGTGTGTACATGGTGGCTTCCTTCTCTCCCCCAAGAATGTCCCAAGAACATACAAGATACTTGAGGTAAATCGCCTTTGTCTAAAATTGTGTAAATTCCCTTAGGAGCTGGAAGGGGAACTTTCTTGGCAAGCTGTACATTTGCTGTCCATTCCTTACAGAATGGGGTCTGAGATACTGCGGTTCTTTCACCGGCTTTGCAACTCCATTTTGTCGCTTTATTGTGGTGCAGCTTGCGTGCTAGAGAAGAGCAACAAAAATGATTAGGGGAGCGAAGGCTAAAACATATGACAAACAGTTGCTGGACTTGGGTATGTCCAGTCTAACAAAGAGAAGGACTGGGATGATATGATAGCAGTCTTCCAATATTTGAAGGGCGGCCACAAAAAGAAGGGGGTCCATCTATTCTCCAAAGCACCTGAAGGCAGGACAAGAAGCAACGGATGGAAACTCATGAAGGAGAGAAGCAACTTGGAACTAAGGAGGAATTTCCTGACTGTTAGAACAATTAACCAGTGGAACCACCTGCCTCCAGAAGCGGTAAATGCTCCAACACTGGAACTTTTTAAGAAGAGACTGGACAGCCATTTGTCTGAAATGGTATAGGATTACCTGCCTGAGCAGGGGATTGGACTAGATGACCTCCAAGGTCCCTTTCAGCTCTTGTTATTCTGTTATTCACGTAATGGCCTTTAGCATGCTGGTCGGTGCACCCTAAACTACGATTTAGAACTATGCATTTCCCCAATGGGGATATAAATTTTGGAAGGGCGAAGGACCAACAAAGCAATCTTAATTATCCCTCTAATTACATATTCTTCCTTGACTTGGTGCAGTCCGAATTCCAACCTTTCATTTGTCTGCTGATTAATGGGGCCCAATGAGAACTTTTTTTCATTGTTCCTAAAGCTTAACTTTAATAAAGATGTCCATGTTTCACGATCACGATCATAATTAGTTAATTCACACCGGAACCTCACCTTTTGGTTTAGAATTTGATTAGCAAAAGTATTATTACTATTGTCGCAATCTGATTTTTCACACAAGAGTAAGCTGCAGCAAATGCCCTTTTACGTAGAATTTGACTGATGTATTGTACTTTTTAATTAAAAAAAGATGACCCCTGTACTACTCTTTTTTTAAAAAAAACATGCTTTTTTCTGTCTCTCGAGTCTGAGACGTGTGCACCAATTTAATCTGGTTTTGGTTGCACCGTAAATAACGCTTCCACAGGAAATATGGAGAGAAAAACCCATACTTCCTGCTATAATGATTTTTTTTGCACATTATGGACATAACTTCTGAAATAGAACAATCCATAAAAATGTGAAATATCGGCAAAGGCCGAGCTATAATTCTGGAGATGGGCAAGAATAATAATATTAAAATGCAGTATTCCGATCTGGGAAGGATCTTTTTAATTTATTTACAGAATGAATGCCCAATCTAAATAAATAATAACAGAACAGAACAAAACAGAACGACAGAGTTAGAAGGGACCACCCCCCCTGCCCGAACAGAAAGATCCTAAATGGTAAACTATATCATGTCTGTTGTCTCTGTATCTCTCTCTCTCTCATCCATGTCTTTCTTTCTTCTATCTATATACCTATGTCTATATCTATATTTGTCTATCTATTTATCTATCATCTATCATCCATCTCTCTCGTCTGTCATCCATCTATCTATCTATCTATCTATCTATCTATCTATCTATCTATCTATCTATCTATCTATCTATCTATCACTCTATCTTCCATGCCTCTCTCTTCTCTCTCTCTCTCTCCATCTCTAATCTATCTATCTATCTATCTATCTATCTATCTATCTATCTATCTATCTATCTATCTATCTATCATTCTATCTTCCATGCCTCTCTCTTCTCTCTCTCTCCATCTCTAATCTATCTATCTATCTATCTATCTATCTGTCTGTCTGTCTGTCTGTCTGTCTGCCTGCCTGCCTGCCTGCCTATCTATCTATCTATCTATCTATCTATCTATCTATCTATCTATCTATCTATCTATCTATCTATCTATCTATCTATCTATCTATCTATCTTCTCTTTCTGTTCTATTAACTATCTTCTATCTTCTATCTTTTATCATCTCTCTCTCTCTCCATCTCTGATCCATCTCTCTCTCTTTCTCTCATCTATCTTCTCTTTCTGTTCTATCAACTATCTTCTATCTTTTATCATCTCTCTCTCTCTCTCTCTCTCTCTCTCTCTCTCTCTCTCTCTCTCTCTCTCTCTCTCTCTCTCTCTCTCTCTCTCTCTCTCTCTCTCATTTCTACACTGCATAAAATGATGGAGCTTCTATTTCCTGCATTTAATTATCTTTTAGAAACACTTTTCTGAAATTCTGACCACCATGACTGGCTTTGATTAATAAGGAACATGGAACAAAGAACTCAAAGGTTTTTGTACAGTTTGTGGTGGGACGTGACTCCGTGACTCACTGGGCAGTGGTGTCACCCACCTGTATTGGCACCGCTCTGAGATTAGCAGTTGCGCAACTTCCTCCTTCTCACTTCCAGCTTCTGGCGGGGAAGTACCCTGCCAGCCCTATAAACAGGCTTTCTCCTTTCGGCCTTCCTCACATCTGTCAAGACCGACAAGATGAATTTCCTTGCAGCTGCTGGACTGCTGCTGCTTGTGCAGAATGCGATTGCAGATAATACAACTCCAGCTGTGCCCAAGGACGTGGTAAGAAAAGTTTGCAATTCACCTATTTTTGAGGCCTGGTGCTGGTGAATTATAGTCTTAGAAGGACACCCAGTTTAAGCTGAGGAAGATCATAGTGGGCTCTTAATTTTACAAAAGAGCTCTGATTTGTTAGTTTATCATTCTGCAACTATAGGCTGCAGAAGAGAGAATAATACAATCCAACGCTTGTTTTTTTTTTTTTTATAAACCCACCAGTGTGCCTTGTGCACAATCTTAGAGATAGTCTCCTCGCAACAGCTTTTAATCCATAAATCAATGCAGAGAAGGGGAGAGTGGGATCATTGGTGAAAAAATGTGTCTTTATTTCAGTTACACACATTGATTGTTTTTAAAGTGAATATAGAGGCATGCCTCAAAGGTCCTCTTAGCCAGTTGACGAGAATCTTCCTAGGAATGGTTATGGCAGCCGGGATCATCAAAAACAGGAGATGAAATGTACAGCAGTTCCTTGTTGTTGTTGTTGTTAATTGCGAAGTCATGTCCGACCCATTGCGACCCCATGGACAACGTTCCTCCAGGTCTTCCTGTCCTCTACCATCTTCTGGAGTCCATTTAAGTTCACACCTACTGCTTCAGGGACTCCATCCAGCCATCTCATTCTCTGTCGTCCCCTTCTTCTATTGCCCTCAATCTTTCCCAGTATCAGGCTCTTTTCCAGTGAGTCCTTCCTTCTCATCAGGTGGCCAAAGTATTTGAGTTTCAACTTCAGGATCTGGCCTTCTAAAGAGCAGTCAGGGTTGATCTCCTCCAGGACTGACCGGTTTGGTCGCCTTGCAGTCCCGGGGACTTGCAGGAGTCTTCTCCGGCACCAGAGTTCAAAGGCCTCAATTCTTTGGCGCTCAGCCTTTCTTATGGTCCAACTTTCACAGCCATACATTGCAACTGGGAAAACCATGGCCTGGACTATACGCACTTTTGTTGGCAGGGTGATGTCTCTGCTTTTTAGTATGCTATCTAGATTTGCCATAGCTTTCCTCCCCAGGACCAAGCGTCTTTTAATTTCTTGGCTGCAGTCCCCATCTGAGGTGATCTTTGAGCCCAACAGCAGTTCCTAGATGCTTGCTAAGTGTATTCAGGTGCAACCAAAGGAAGGATGAACAGGACACCATAGCAGGCCTGCGATATTGGACATTTTGGGGAGTCTTTTCTAGAAGGATTTCTATGCAATTTTGGAATGAGGAGCTGGAGAAGAGAGAAGCTTCTGTCTCTCCTTAAGAATCATCTTTGCAGAAGGGGTTAAATTTTGCCTTGCATTAGTCTCCTCTGTTTTAATACCCAGTCCATCCGTCAAGGGATCTTGGTAAATCAGCGATGATCTACATTTATTAAATGTATTAGATGCAAAGGAGACACCATCAGATACTCTAAAACTGTAAACCAAGAGGTCAGAGAAGTTCATATCCATGGCAAACTTCTGGTTTTCAGAGCCTCTTTAGATGGAGGTGAGAAGATGGACACATTCTTGTCTGCTTTCATCCTTCTAGGTTCTTGAACATCGCAAGATATTTTCCTAATAGTATTTTCATTGGCACCAGACTCAACCAAGGCAATGCATTTTTAAATTTCCCGCCAGGCATTTGAGGGACTATGGAATCTCTCAGCCATGTCACTACACCTATTTTTCCACAGCAAAGTAGGAAAGAGGTCCTCACCAGGTTGGAAAACGCTCCTAAAAGGGCTTTTTCCATCCTTGAATTGCTCTTGAAAACCTCACATCCATGTTGCTTAATTACATCTTCTTCCTTCTTACTGGAAAGTGCAATTATAGAATCTGTTCTTAGAATTCCAGCATCTGAACTTGGAAACTAAGTTAGTTTCTGGAGATTCGAATGGAAGAACACTTGAATTCCCAAGGCATTGGCCTCAAACTCTGCAAGGATGGGTCTCTGAGGGTTCCAAAGGATGGAACTCAACTCAAAGATACGTCTTTGTTCATGTTTCTTCAGGAATATGAATAAAGATATAGCTGCTTTAAAGAGCTGACCCATCCTTCACGCCGTATAAGCTGGAGAAGTGTGGGGTTCCCCACAAGAGGAAAGATTAGCATCTAATTATCTAAATTCTGGGATGAGGACAAGTTAGGACCAGAGAGCTGTCTTCGAGGGAAACAAGGTCCTTAGTTCCAATGAAAACATCACATATGAAATGGGAGAGATGGATCACCTTAGCTCTGCTCCAAAGGATAATAAAAAATGCATCGCGTTAGCGTCTCTCTTTCTCTCTCTCTCCACGCAATCCTTCAGCAAACTCTCCGAGGAAAGGTAAAACCCCGTGCTTGCAGTCTTTTCTCCATCAGATCATTGAATAGCCCAGCCCTTGTCAGCAGGAACACGTCATGTTTGCTTATCACTGTGTGAAGGTAGCATTTTTATGCACAGGATACACAGAGATAGCCAGTTTGGTGTGGAGCTTAAAGGCAGTGAGGTAGAAACTGAGAAACGATGAGTTTTAGTTTGCTGTTAGACACAATGCCAACTGGGTAAGCTTGAGCAAGTCTTTGTCTCTGTCCCAGCTCTGGGCAGAAGGAAGTCACTTCCACAACACCTAGCCAAGAAAATTGCACGGATTTGACCAGAGTTGTTGCCAGGAGTCAAAAAAGCAACGCGGAGGTACAAAAAAACCCCGTAAAAACAAACAAACAACCTTCCCAGAGATAGATAGTGCATCACTCCTGGCTGTGTTTGAAATGCAGAAATTCAATACTCAGTGTTCCACACTGTGCAGGTCGTCAATTAAAAACAGATCAATAACAACACTTGTATCTATCTATCCATCTATCTATCTATCTGTCTTCTAGTATGCAACTACCGTGCTGTATCGGCCTCCCACAGTTCCAGAGCCAAATGGTCCTGCAGAGGTAAAAAGTTTTAAAATTCTCTTTCTTTTAAAAATTATGGTTTTTGCAATGAAACTGAAATGAATGAATGAAATGAAACAAGTCAGGGTAGGGCTTCTATCTATCTATCTATCTATCTATCTATCTATCTATCTATCTATCTATCTATCTTTCTATCTATCTATCTATCTATCATCTATCTATCTATCTATCTATCTATCTATCTATCTATCTATTTATCTACCTACTTACCTACCTACCTACCTACCTACCTACCTACCTACCTACCTACCTAATTATCTATCTATCTATCTATCTATCTATCTATCTATCTATCTATCTATCTATCTATCTATCTATCTATCTATCTATCTATCTATCTACCTACTTACCTACCTACCTACCTACCTACCTAATTATCTATCTATCTATCTATCTATCTATCTATCTATCTATCTATCTATCTATCTATCTATCTATCATTTATCTATCCCTATCCATGTCCCTATCTGTCTGTCTGTCTGTCTGTCTGTCTGTCTATATCTATCTATCTATCTATCTATCTATCTATCTATCTATCTATCTATCTATCTATCTATCTATCTATCTATCTATCTCTAGCTATCCCTGTATCTATCTATCTATCTATCTATCTATCTATCTATCTATCTATCTATCTATCTATCTATCTATCTATCTATCTATCTATCTATCTATCTATGGTAAAGGGTTTCCTGCTTGAGCAGATGGTTGGACTAGAAGTCCTCCAAGGTCCCTTTCAAGGTGAGGTGCCTTTATAAATCACTAATACCGAAGACAACTAAGTAAGAAACCTTTTGCAGAAACTCTTACAGTGCTTGTCCCAAAGAAGTTTTGTTTTGTTTTTCCTTAAAAAAAAAAATAAGAGGGAACTGAAGAAGCTTCTTGGATGACCAGTACGATGTTTTCAAAGAACCCCCCCCCCAAAAAAAAATCCAGTTGCCCCTTGAAAAAGCACCTTTGGGACAACCATGACCTGGATGATGGAGAATCTACATAGACCCTTGCGCTGGTTAGTTCCAAAATCCATCGGCGATGAACTAAGGCAAACCCTGTTTGCAATCTCATGCACCCCAAATACATATATATTTATTTAGGAAGGACTATCTATCTATCTATCTATCTATCTATCTATCTATCTATCTATCTATCTATCTATCTATTTTGATTTCTTTATGCAGATTCTCCATCCTCCAGGTCAAACTTGTCCCAAAGTTGCTTTTCTTCAAAGGCAACTGTTTTTTTTCCCCTTTGAAAACGTTTCACTTCTCAACCCAGAAGCTTCTTCACTTCTGTATTATTTTTTTTAAGGAGGAAAAAAAGAACTCAAGTAGGTAGGTATTTGTTGTTGTTGTTAGTTGCGAAGTCGAGTCTGACCCATTGTGACCCCATGGTTAGCGTTCCTCCAGGTCTTCCTGTCCTCTACCATCTTCTGGAGTCCATTGAAGCTCATGCCTACTGCTTCAGTGACTCTGTCCAGCCACCTTATTCTCTGTCATCCCCTTCTTCTCTTGCCCTCCATCTTTCCCAGCGTCGGGCTCTTCTCCAAGGAGTCCTTCCTTCTCATTAGGTGGCCAAAGTACTTGAGTTTCAACTTCAGGATCTGGCCTTCTAAAGAGCAGTCGGGGTTGATTTCCTTCAAGCCTTCCTGTCCTCTACCATCTTCTGGAGTCCATTGAAGCTCACGCCTACTGCTTCAGTGACTCCATCCAGCCACCTCATTCTCTGTCATCCCCTTTTTCTATTGCCCTCCATCTTTCCCAGCATCAGGCTCTTCTCCAGGGAGTCCTTCCTTCTCATTAGGCAGCCAAAGTACTTGAGTTTCAAGTTCAGGATCTGGCCTTCTCAAGAGCAGTCGGGGTTGATCTCCTCTAGGACTAGTCAGGGTAGATAGGTATAGGACTGAGTAAACATTTAGGTGACCAGTAAAAATGTATATCATGGAAGGAGTTTGAGCTCAAAATATTTTGAGTTCAAAGGGTTTTACACATTTCTAGTAGCAACTCTTCTCCAAAACAGTTACGTGATTACTTTTCAGGTGTTGATGTACCGTTAGAGCCAGGTATAAAATTAACTAGATGTAGAAAATTAACCAGATGTAGAACAGAAGTATTTCCTTTTTGTTTTGAATTTCCAGTGTCTGGAAACATTGAGGTTTTACTTTTCGAATCAGTAAAACGTACATTTCCTTTTAATGGCATTTTAACCAAATTCTTCAGAAACCGGTTTGGGAAGGAGAGACAACCCTCAAAGAACTTTCTGGAGCCTGAAAGTCATGTTCAGCCTCAGGAAACAGAGACGTAAACTAGATTTTTTTTTTCCTCCCAACATAAAACAGCTCAACAGTAAACAGGGTTAATTATATAATTACGAATCACAGAATACTTGGGAATTATCTGACCTAATATCTAGGTTTTTTTTTTCTTGGAGTGGTGCAGTGGCCTAGAGGTGAAGACACTCGCCTGCTGCTGAGAAGGTTGAGAGTTCAATCATTGACAGGGGCAGATGTTTCTCTATCAGGGCGCAAAGAGAAAATATTGCTGCGAACTCTGCATAGGCATCAGGAAGGGCATCCAGACAGTAAACGCTCAGCTCCATTCAGTCATCCTGTCTCCACCTCGATAAAAGGGATTACAGGGTCATTAAAAAAAAAGAAAAAGAAAGTCTAGTTTCTTTTCTTCACCATGAACTTGTTCACCCTTATAAACCCAATGAAAAACAAAAGTCTGTGGAGATTCTTAGTCAGCTAGGTCACAATTATCCCAAAGATGCTTTTTCGTGACGCAATTGGACTTTTCTTGTTTTTTCTTTGAAGATACTTCACTTTTCATCCAAGAAGCTTCTTCAGCTCTGACTGGATGGTGGGGAATGGAAGGATTTATACTCCTCACAGACTGCTGGTCATTTGCATTTCTTTAGAGAGTCATTGAGGCCACTTGGAGGTTTATCTGTGTCCTCAGGGTCACCTGGATAATACAAAGCCTTCTTGGAGCTGTTTGCATTACTCAGGTGACCCTGACAACACAGGTGGTCTCAACGACTCTCTAAAAGAAGGCAAATGACCAGCTGTCTGAACAGAATATAAATATAAATGACATCCTCTGTCTCCAGTCTACAACACAGTCCTTCCAGCAGTTCCAAGAAGGCTCCACACCCATTTGCACCACTCAGATGTCCCTGAGGACACAGATAAACCTCCAGGTGGCCTCAACGACTCTCTAAAAGCAGGCAAATGACCAACTGTCTGCAAGGAGTATAACTCCTTCCATTCCCCACCATCCAATCAGAGCTGAAGAAGCTTCTTGGATGAGAGGTGAAATGTCTCCAAAGAAAAACAAGATAGTCCAGTTGCCTTGAGGACCACCTGCTTCCTACAGCCTGGAATTGGCTAATGAGGAATTACAAATGAGGTTCCAAACAAGGACGCCTGTGGCCATCAGAGATATCATGAAGCTATTTCAATGCAAACTTTCAAGGGCTGTTTTTCTGGGCTTCCTGAAAAACTGCTGAGCCGAGCAGAAGCAATAGTAGAGAAATCAAATCTATAGGAAGAACGATCAGGATCTTAGGCCCCCAGGTGGCAGCTGAGTTCAGCTAGATGTTCTCTCTGTCTCTTTCTCTCAGTCAATTATAATGGATTAAAGTACCCCCCCCACCCTCTTCTCTGCCTGCTTAGTATTGACTGGCTAAGTGAGAGCACCATGCAATAAATCAACTTAGATATATGATATCAAGTTGTTTTCAATTAAAACTCAAGATTCTCCAGTCCGGAAGAACAGCTTTTTTTTTTTTTTAAAGAAAATGTTAAAAAACAAAACAAAACAAAAATGAAAAGCAACCTAGTAAACTAACTACTGTAGATTCCATTATCATCTTTCGGTTTGGCCAATAGATCATTTTAAAAGCATTCTTCATTGGAAAAAGGCTGTTTTGCTTCGTATTTTTGCTTGAGTCATTCCGCAAAGCATTAATCCTTTGAACAGCTTCAGATCAGGGGCAGTTTGCGATGTAACAGGGACTCTAATTATTCTTCCCAAGTTTTTTTTTTTATGAATAGCTTTTATTTATGTCTCAGTAAGTTTCTAAGTATTCGTGGCCAGTTTTTTCAGGGTGAGCATCAACAAAGTGAAATGCCTCTGATTGCTGACGCTTCCCTCTTTTAAATCTTTTTTTCCAGCCATTTACCAATGTGACCGGCGTCGTGGATGACCGTGGAATGTGCCAATGTTCAGTTTACCTGCCTGATACAACATTTCCTGTACAGAAGGTAGAAAGCCTTGAAATTCTGGCTCAGCAGCTCTCAGCAAAATTTGAGAGTGAACTTTCAAAAGTAAGTGGCTTTAGCCTTTATTGTTATGAGACCGAAACAAAAGATAGCAGATTGGGTAGCAAGCCCTTGACATTTAGGTAGACCTTCTCAGGTGCATCAAGGTTTTGCTTCATAGATAGCTTCCTTAATGTTGGAGGGATTCTTATGAAGGGAAGCTGAGAAAGAATGTGATCCCTTAATTTCTTATGCTGTCAGGGTGACATGGGGGCCTATTCTGCATGGGAAAGACCTGAGCCTGTAGCGATCTTTGTCTGTGAGTCATGACAACGTCAAGGAAAGCCAAGCTTGGAAGCTATCCAGAGTTACCTTGTGTGAGAGATGGGTGGCATAAAAGTTTAATAGATAGATAGATAGATAGATAGACAGACAGACAGACAGACAGACAGACAGACAGACATGTATAGATGAATAGATAGACAGATAGATAGACTGACAAGCAGATAGAGATAGATGCACAGTTGGATAGATGGATGAATAGATGAATGGATGGATGGATGGATAGGATGTATGTATGGATAAGATGGATAGATGAATAGATAGATATAGATAGATAGATGTGTATATAGATATATGGATGGATAGATAGATAGATAGACCAGAGAGAGATGGATAGATGATAGATATAGATAGATAAAGGTGGATGTGTAGATAGATATATGGATGGATGGATTGATATAGATAGATAGATGGGAGAGATGGATAGATGATAGATAGAGAAGGATGGATAGATGATGATAGATAGATAGATAGATAGATAGATAGATAGATAGATAGATAGATAGATAGATAGATAGATAGTTGGATGGATGGATGGATGGATGGATGGATGGATGGATGGATGGATGGACGGGGATTGCTTCTCTTTTTGGTCAGTTTCAACCTTTGTTTCTTGTCCTTCCTTCTGGTGCTTTGGTGAACAACCTGACTCCCTCTGCCTTGTGGCAGCCCCTCAGATATGGGAACACTGCTATATATCTCCCCTATTTCTTCTTTTCTTTAGACTAGCCAAACCCAAGTCCCGTAGCCGTTCCTCGTATGTTTTAGTCTCCAGACCTTTGATTATCTTAGTTGCTCTTCTCTGAACTTTTTCCAAACTCTCAACATCTTTTTTGTGATTATGGTGACCAAAACTGGCTGCAGTATTCCAGGTGTGGCCTTACTAGGGCTTTGTAAAGCGGTACTAATACTTCGCGTGATCTTGATTCTATGCCTCTGTTTATACAACCCAGGATTGTATCGGCTTTTGTGACTGCTGCTGCACACGGCTGGCTCATAGGCAAGTGATCGTTCACTAGGACTCCAAGGTCCCTCTCGCAGTTACTGTTTTTAAGGCAGATCTCACCCAACCTGTATCACCCAATTTGAATTAAAACTAAGTTCCTTAGTTAGACGTGGCGCTGTTGTTTGCTCTGTGAATCTGGCCGTTGTTTGCAAAATTCGAGGGAGAAACCCACCCATAAATAATTCTCAAGTTCTTCAATCTTTGGAAAGGCTGGGGGGAGGAGGGTGGGTAGGGCCCCTTCCCAGTGAAGAACCGGCCTTTAAAATTGGCCACTTGATGAAAAATATGCAAAGTTTCAATTAGATGTCCTGAAGAAGTGGGTTTGACTGCTCCAGCAACTTGGCATGGTAGCAATAAATGAGGTGTCCTTGAATTAATCAGAAGGAAAGACAGAGCACTCAATTATGAATTCTGGCCATAAATATTCATAATTTCCTGGCAGTATAATCAGAGAGACGTTTACCCATTTTGAAAGAAACACACACACACACACACACACACACACGTGCAAGAAGGATGGGGTGAAGGAGTTGGAGACGGTCTACTGGAAGTTAAAAATAATTTTTTGTTTCAATCTGTACATCGGAATTGATGGCAAGGGTGTGACACATGGCGACACACTGAGTTTTGTGTGTGTGTGCCTTTGCCATGTACTCCCTCAAAATTAGGTGTTAGTCATGCCTTCTTCGCCAAAGAATTGAGGCCTTTGAACTCTGGTGCTGGAGAAGACTCCTGTGAATCCCCTGGACCACAAGGCGATCAAACCGGTCAGTCCTAGAGGAGATCAACCCCAACTGCTCTTTAGAAGGCCAGATCCTGAAGTTGAAACTCAAGGACTTTGGCCACTTAATGAGAAGGAAGGAGTCCCTGGAGAAAAGCCTGATGCTGGGAAAGATGGAGGGCAAGAGAAGAAGGGGACGACAGAGAAGGAGGTGGCTGGAGGGAGTCCCTGAAGCAGTAGGCATGCGCTTCAGTGGACTCCAGAAGATGGTAGAGGACAGGAAGGCCTGGAGGAACGTTGTCCATGGGGTTGTGATGGGTCGGACACGACTTCGCAACTAACAACAACATGCTTTCTTGCGTGTGTTATGCAGTAGGAAATGGTCTTGGTTGCATAGAACAGCATTTAGATACAAGCCCATTGAATTCAGAGGTGAGTTGCATTACTTCTAAAGGGAGTGAATTGAGCTGACATGGGGAACAGCTTAGCAAGGTGATTTATGAGCAAAACTATAGCCATGCTGCTTCCTTTTAGTCAATGACTGGCCTGGCCATTCATTTTCCCAATAGTTCCTTGAAGAATAAAGATAACATTCAGTTTTGCAATATATCTCAGATAAATCTGGCCCTATAAATCAAGAGCGGAGTGCATTTGGGCCTGGAATCGGACTCAGAAATACTTTTCTCCAACAATAACTTTATAGCAGGAATAGGAATGGGGTGATCAAGGACCATGTCTCCTCTCCTTCTGTTGTCCCCAGAGATGGTCATTTGTAGAGGCAGAAGAAAGGTGTTTCCCAAAGTCCAACCAAATTTGATCTTCAACGATCTTCCAATTCCATCAAAGAAATGCAGAGAAGAGCAACAAAGATGATCAAGGGACTGGAGGCTAAAACATATAAAGAACGTTTGCTGGAATTGGGTTTCTCTAGTTTAACAAAGAGAAGGATGAGGGGGGACATGATAGCAGTGATCTGATATTTGAGGGGTTGCCACAAAAGCACCCGAAGGCAGGACAAGAAGCAATGGATGGAAACTAATCAAAGAGAGACGCAACCTGGAACTACGGAGAAATTTCCTGACAGTGAAAACAATTAATCAGTGGAACAACCTGCCTCCAGATGTTGTGAATGCTCCAACACTGGAAGTTTTTAAAGTTTTGTCTGAAATCACATAGGGTTTCCTGCCTGAGAAGGGGGTTGGACTAGAAGACCTCCCAAGTCCCTTCTCTTCTCTTCTCTTCTCTTCTCTTCTCTTCTCTTCTCTTCTCTTCTCTTCTCTTCTCTTCTCTTCTCTTCTCTTCTCTTCTCTTCTCTTCTCCTCTCCTCTCCTCTCCTCTCGTCTCCTCTCCTCTCCTCTCCTCTCCTCTCCTTCCGTTCCGTTCCGTTCCGTTCCATTCCATTCCATTCCATTCCATTCTTCTGTTCCGTTCCATTCCGTTCCGTTCCATTCTATTCTATTCTATTCTATTCTATTCTATTCTATTCTATTCTATTCTGTTCTATTCTATATTTTCTGTTCCATGCCATGCCATGCCATGCCATGCCATGCCATGCCATGCCATGCCATTGCCATTCCATTCCATTCCATTCCATTCCATTCCATTCTATTCTATTCTATTCTATTCTATTCTATTCTATTCTATTCTATTCTATTCTGTTCTATTCTATTCTTCCGTTCCCTTCCCTTCCCTTCCCTTCCCTTCCCTTCCATTCCATTCCATTCTGTTCTATATCTTCTGTTCTGTTCCTGTGTTGTAGACTGGAGGTGGGTGATGTCATCCAGTCTACAACAGAATCCTTTCAGCAATTCCAAAAAGGCTCCACACCCATTTGCACCACTCAGGTGACTCCAAGGATACAGATAAACCTCCAGGTGGCCTCAATGACTCTCTTAAAGAATGCAAATGACCAGCTGTCTGCAAGGAGTATAAATCCTTCAGCTCTCCACCATCCAGTCAGAGCTGAAGAAGCTTCTTGGATGAGAAGCGAAACATCTTCAAAGAAAAACAGTTGCCTCCTGAAACAGCACCTTTGGGTCAACTGTGATCTGGAGGACTGAGAACTTCCATAGACTTTTATCCAACATGATTTTCTAAGGTTGCTTCACTCCGGTGGTGTCAAAGATACTGATTTTGCTTTGATATTTTGTTTTTAATACGGAGAAAAAAAAAGTAAGATAATTTTCAGGGTTGCTCATTGTATCTCAGGGTTAAGACCGTTTGGAAGAGGTGTTTAATGGACATTTCACTCTGAATGAGCACCCTGTCGGAGCCATTCTTTGCAGAGTCAAGAGACTGATGTCTTTTATAAACGCATCACTCTTTTTGAAAATGGCCGGGACTCAACGGAATGCGAGGACACAGCTTTTATCCATTTTCAGCCATTCCCAGGTTGCGGCGTGTTCTTACAACTTGTCCTATCTTGCTTTTGTAATCTCTCACCAGAGTCCCTTTGTTGAGGACTCTTTGCTTAATGCCATTTGTTATCTTGACACTGCCATCCATTAACAAACCTCAGTTTCTGGGGTTTGATTCTGTGGTCGAAATCGCTCAGAAGGGAAGTGAACTGAAAAGTAGAAAAAACAAAGTTTTGGGGGTTAGCCTAAAGTACCCCGATGAGATACAGTAGAATCAAGATCACGTGAAGTGTTAATACCACTTTACATGGCCTTGGTAAGGCCGCACTTGGAATACTGGAATACAGTTTTGGTCACCACGATGTAAAAAAGATGTTGAGACTCTAGAAAGAGTGCAGAGAAGAGTAACAAAGATGATCAGGGGATTGAAGGCTAAAACATACAAGGAACGGTTGGGTTTGTCTAGTTTAATGAAGAGAAGGATGAGGGGGGACATGATAGCTGTGTTCCAGTGTCTCAGGGGCTGCCCCAAAGAAGAGGGAGTCAAGCTGTTCTCCAAAGCACCTGAAGGCAGGACAAGAAGCAATGGATGGAAACTAATCAAGGAGAGAAGCAAACTGGAACTAAGGAGAATTTTTCTGACAGTTAGAACAATTAACCAGTGGAACAACCTGCCTCCAGAAGTTGTGAATTCTCCAATACTGGAAGTTTTTAAGAAGAGACTGGACAGCCATTTGTCTGAAATGGTACAGGGTTTCCTGCCTGAGCAAGGGGTTGGACTAGATGACCTCCAAGGTCCCTTCCAACTTTATTATTATTATTATTATTGTTGTTGTTGTTGTTGTTGTTGTTGTTGTTGTTATATCCAGTTTGAAGAATCAGGACCACACATTGACCTCTTGTTAAGATGATCTATTTGATCAAGTCTATATCCAAGAACCTAGTCAACTAATGGTCAGCACTAAAATGGCACTAAATAAGGGTCAAGAGAATTCAAGAGCATCTAGACTTAGGTTCTTTGTGACAACGTAATGACTTGAGGCTGATTTCTCTCTTGACTCCGACTCCAGGCTCTACCTATTCTTCTCCTATATGAGAGTTACTTATTGTACAAAACCTGGCTTGGGCATGCATCTCCATGTGTATGGGAAAACTGGACTACTGCAACACGCTCTACATGGGGCTACCCTTGGAAAATATTCGGAGACTACAGTTGGTCCAGAATGCAGCCGTGCGAGTGATAGTGGGTGCTCCTCGGTATACCCACGTTACACCTATCCTCCGTGAGCTGTACTGGTTGCCTATTGGTCTCCGGGTCCAATTCAAGGTGTTGGTTATTACCTTTAAAGCCCTATATGGCTCAGGGCTAGGCTATTTGTGAGACCGCCTACTACCTCATAGTTCCCTTCGTCCGGTCAGATCCCACAGGCTGGGCCTCCTTCAGGCCCCGTTGGCCAAGCAGTGCCATTTGGCGGGGCCGCGGGGGAGGGCTTTCTCTGTGATGGCGCCCACGTCTTGGAACCAGCTCCCCCCCCCGGAGATTAGGACCGCTCCCACCCTGTTGGTTTTCCGCAAGCTGCTTAAGACCTGGCTTTTCCAGCAGCCTGGGGTTTATAAAATCTGACCCCTGGATGAATGTTACTGTATTGTTTGTTTTGTTAAGTTATGTTGTGTTTTTATTGTTAGCCGCCCGGAGTCCTGCAGGAGTGGGGCGGTCTATAAATTTTAATAAATAAATAAAATAAATAAAACTGAATGGTGCAATGCTGGTAAATATACAGGGTTTAGATTTCCCATTTGTTCAGATTTTTTTTTTCTGTTTTTAGAGATAGGGGACCTTGCTGCTCTCTGAGCATGCTTGTTTTCTTGCAGACGTTTCATTATCCAAACTAGATAACATCATCAGTGCTGGTAAGGAGTGAGGTTTGTTTTCTGCTGTCTTGCCCTGTCAGTGTTGGTGAGGATGATCTTAAGAGATTCTTTAAGTGGGTTGTGTACTGTTGGCTCTTTGGCAGTTTCTTGATTGTGGTATTGTTTGCGTCTTGATGGTTGGTGTGATGTTAATCTTGGAGTTAATCTATGCTGATCTGAGTGCCGATTGCTGGTGGAGAGATGCTTAGGTCGGGGGTCTTCAAACTTGGCCCTTTTATGACTTGCGGACTTCAACTCCCAGAATTCTTGAGCCAGCACAGCTGGCTGAAGAATTCTGGGAGTTGAAGTCCACAAGTCATAAAAGGGCCAAGTTTGAAGACCCCTGGGTTAGGTCTTTTTGTTCTCTTTTTTTTAAAAAATAGGTAAAGCCTACTTTACGATTTTCACAGCACTTTTTACGTGGGTTTCTTCCCCCACAGCACTTTTTACGTGGGTTTCTTCCCCCTCTATATCAAGAACCTCCCAGCCCAGATCTGTTGCTGTCACCGGGCATTTGTCACTGGGAAGTTATCTACTTCTTCATTAATTCATGCAAAGTGGTTGGCTTGCTTTTGGCTCTGGGTGATCGGTCAGTGAATAAATGAGGATTTATTTGAGGAGACTAAATCTCAGTTTGGTTCTTACCGGTTTCCTGGTTGCAATGGTGGTTTGGGGTGAATTCATTGGTGTCCACAGAATAGCAAGAGATATAATACAGGTAGTCCTTGATTGACGACCACAACAGAGCACCAAATTGTTCTTACTACGTGAGGCGTGTCTTAAGTGAAATTTGCCTCATTTTACAACTTAGTTGTTAAGCTAGTGACATGGTTCTTAAATGAAGCTGGCTTCCCCATTGACTTTGCTTGTCAGAAGGTCTCAACAGGTGACCACATGAGCCTGGGACAATGTGACCATCATAAATAGGAATCATTTCCAGAGCACTGTAGAGTGACCTGAAGTTTAAAGGGGGGGCAAAATTGACAGCTTTGGAAAGACTCTCAGATTTTGGAATCTTACAACATGTGCTTATAACTCCGGCCCGTAAAATTGGCAAATGGGAAAGCTGTGGATCTTGGCCAGCCTTAGGATTTGGTTGAGTGGGACAGTTGTCTAAGCCGAGGCAGAAGATGCTGAGAGGTGTCAGTATTTGTATTTGTATTTAATTTTATTTATATGCCGCCCAATCCCAAAGGACTCAGGGCGGCGTACAGAGTTAAAACAATCATAAAACAATAAAATAATACAGTCATACCGCGAGTCCGATCATATCCTGCCCCCCCCCGGGGACATCAACCGCAGGCCTGCCGGAACAGGAGCGTTTTAATGGCTTTCTTAAAGGCTGGCAGGGTGGGAGTAGTTCGAACCTCGGGGGGAAGTTGATTCCACCAGGTCGGAGCCACCACAGAAAAGGCCCTTCCCCGAGGGCCCGCCGGCCGACATTGTCTGGCCGACGGGACCTGAAGGAGGCCCAATCTATGGGACCTCACCGGTCTCTGGGAACTGTGCGGCAGAATGCGGTCCTGTAAGTAACCTGGCCCTATGCCATGAAGGGCTTTAAAGGTGATAACCAACACCTTGTATTGCGTCCGGAGACCCACAGGAAGCCAGTGCAGCTCACGGAGGATAGGTGACACGTGGGCGTACCTTGTACCGCGCCCACAATCGCTCTCGCGGCTGCGTTCTGAACCAACTGCAGCCTCCGAACGCCCTTCAAGGGTAGCTCCATGTAGAGCATGTTACAGTAATCCAGTCTTGAGGTGACAAGGGCATGAGTGACTGTGAGTAAAGCCTCCCGGTCCAAATAAGGCCGCAACTGGTGCACTAGGCGAACCTGTGCAAAGGTCCCCCTGGCCACAGCCGATAGATGTTGTTCCAAATTTAGCTGTGAGTCCAGGAGGACACCCAAGTTGCGTGCCTGCACTGAGGGAGGTAAATTTGCCCCCCCCCCAGAACTAATGATGGACCATCCAGTTGGCCTTTGGGAGGCAAGACCCAGAGCCACTTGGTCTTGTCAGGGTTGAGTCTAAGCCTGTTCAGGATTGAGTCTAAGCCTAAGAAAGCTGCCGGACTTTCAGTTGGGGTAGACGAAGCTGGCCCTCTGTGGAACTGAAAAATGATTTGGCTGTCATTCCCGCCAGTCTCAGAGCATGGACTACAGGTATCTATCATTCAGTTCCTCATCTCAGCCAGGAAAAGCTCTTGAACCAGCTGTGCTTTGGGTGCCCTTTGATCAATTGCACGACGGCGTGCCTGCTGCTTCCCATCCTTCAGGCTGCATGTCAAAGCTGTTGACCTGAAAGTCGTGGAGATGTAAAGCTGTAGATTTCATGGCCAATTGCCCTGAGTGTAATCCATCATGACATCATTAGGCAGAGGTAGTTCTTCCCAAAAGCTCTAGCCCTCTCTTGCACTGAGTTGGAAATAATTCTGAGAGGATTTCATCAGATTAACTAAAAGAAGATGAAGGAATAAAACACAGGAGGGTTTGGGTAAAAATTCTATGACATTCTGCTGCATTTTTCATTTTTTTTTTTGTAGGAGTAATAGTATTCAGTCATCAAAAAGGGGAAGAACGTTTCTGATCGATGATAACACTTTTTCCTATTCTACAGATTATTTAGTTTATCGGGTTTTTTTTTTATATCTGTAATCTTTGCTATGAGTTTTAGTCTATAAATAAAGACAGTGTTAGATAGGCTTCTGGGCTCACTTTGCTGTAATCGTATTTTGATCTCCGTGAGATTTCCAAATAGACGCTGGAACGAGACTTTTATCTTTTGAAAAATAATCTTTTAGACTTCGGCTCAAATGGATTGTGTTTCTTTACATATTTATAGGTGAGCCAGTACACCACATTAATTGAGCTCTACGAAGAAAGGATGCTAAATTTAACTGTCAAGATAGAGCATATGGAGAAGTCCAGCATATCTTACACAGCGTTGGAATTCGAATTGATCAAGCTGGAAATCAGGGAGATGGAGAGACTGATTGTGCAGTTGAAGACGTCACTTACTGGAAGCAACGTGATTGTGGAGCAGTTGTATGTCGAGGTAAAAAATCTTTCCTTGGACGTTTCTTCTAGTTTGATCAAATCTTCCGTGTCTTTCAAGGTGTAGGACAGGGGTGGGGAACCTTGGTTCTTTTATGACCTGTGGACTTCAACTCCCAGAATTCCTGAGCCAGCATGGCTCAGCTTGGAAACAACCCCAGAATTCCTGAGCCAGCATGGCTCAGCTTGGAAATCTTTCCCTTTCCCCTCAGCATGGCTGGCTCAGAATTCTGGGAGTTGAAGTCCACCAGTCCTAAAAGAGCCAAGGTTGCTTACCCCTGGTGTAGGAAGATAGCACTTGCCTCCCCCAAAGGAGGAGAATTGAATTATTCACTTCTCTTCACTACACGGAAAAAACACTCCAGGCAGTCCCTCCAACAATTAAGTTTTAGGAATGAGATATTTTTGTATCTGTTGAGGAAACTGGAGCATTCCATTCATTTCATTTTTGGATTCAGTCAGCCAAGACCTGTCCTTCTTCTTCCACTTTGTCTTCCCTTAGAAGAGAAAAGATGCTGGATAGGACTGCCCCTTGGTCTACAACACCCCAAACTTAAAACAAACAAACAAACAAATAAATAAACAGGGAAATAAAGGGTGCCAAAGCTGGTAGGCATTGATGGAGAGATAACAAGCATTAAAAAAGTCCAGAATAGCTGGAGTCAGGAAGAATAAATAATAATAACAACAACAACAACAACAACAATAAAGTTGGAAGGGACCTTGCAGCAGGGACCAAAATTTATTTATTTATTATTTATTTATGAGACTTATATACCGCTTTAAGTGCAAGCACTCTCTAAGCGGTGTACACCAGTAAGCAATGTATATATATATATTTACATTGCCCCCAACAATCTGGGTCCTCATTTTACCTACCCCGGAAGGATGGAAGGCTGAGTCAACCTTGAGCCGGTGAGATTTGAACCGCTGACCTGCTGAACACAGTCAGCTAAAGTGGCCTGCAGTACTGCACTCTAACTGCTGCGCCACCTCGGCTCTAAAAATCCCACTTAGGAGTATAAGAAAGAACATCTGGAGGAGTTTTGACCTGGTAAATGAAGCTCCTGCTGACATAATGGACAGCTTTCTTGGATACTATACAGAAGCAGTTTTGTTATAGCTTTTCGCTACTGATATTGTGCAAGAAATTGGAAGTTGCCCACCGAGAGGTAAATATCCCTCAGATTCTCTCACACTCACTGCAATGTTTTGAGGTTTTGTGGAGTCTGTGTGTTAAGAATAGCAGCTTGGTTCACTGCATATACATAGGATTTGAAAAGCTGTACTCGCTGTAGCAACAACAGCGCTGCGAAAAAAGAGAAGAAAATATGCAAATCAGAAGTGTATATTATCGTATACATTAACGTATACAAGATAATTACACTAACAAGATCAAATGAATTTAGAGTGGAATGCTTACAGAAGAGTATGCAGGTGGCTCTTGACTTACGATCACAATTGAGACCCAAAATTCTGTTCTTAAGCAAGACAGTTGTTAAGCGGGTTTTGCCCCATTTTACGACCTTTTGGTCCACGAGAATCACTGCGGTTGATAAATTAATAGCATTGTTGTGAAGTGAATCTGGCTTCCCCATGGACTTTGCTTATCAGAAGGCCACAAAAGGGGATCACATGACCCCCCCCAGGACACGGAAACCGTCATAAGTACATGCCAGTTGCCAAGCCTTTGAATTTAGATCACGCGACCATGGAGAGGCTGCAACGGTCCTAAATGGGAAAAACCACCGTAAGTCACTTTTTTTTTCAAGCGCTGTTGTAACTACAAGGAGTCACTAAACAAACTGTTGTATAGGCAACTCTGTGTGAAAATATGTGTGAAAGAAAGTTAAAGTTTTCCTTGAGTCAGGCTGAGCTTGGTTGAAACGACAGGAATTCATTTGTGCTGTTCTCTTGGCACAACAACGCACAAAGGGTTTGTCAATGTTTTCTTCTGGAAATTCACTGGACTTCCCAATCTAGCCTGTAGACCTGGGATTTCTAGGGGATTCCCATAAAGCCCTCCCGATTTCTGATCCCGCTTCGCTTTGTCAAGATCAGCCAAGGTGACTTAGCTGGTGATACCTACAACCGGATTAAACCAGATAAGAGAACTATACTATAGTCCAGTGACGGCAAACCTTTTAAAGACCGAGTGCACCAAAACTGGGCCTGTCCTGGCCCCACCTGCCCCTGCTCCACTCCACCCCTGTCCCGCCCACCCCATCCCACCTGCCTGAAGGGTCACTCACCACCTCCATGGCCCACCACAGATTGCCCAGGTGGCCCAGCAGCGCCGTGGTGGCCACACCCTCTGCCCGCACTTCGCAGCATCAACTACGTGCAACAGGACATGAGGGTGGAGACTTGTCCGGCTTCCACGTCCTTGGCTGCGCTGTTCCACGTGGGCCGTGCTCAGGGGCGACTCTCCTCTGGGGGGGGGCTGCTGGTGAGGAGGGAGCCACTGGGGGAGGCGGGGCTGGGGTGACATGCGTGTGCCCACAGTGAGGGCTCTGAGTGCCGCCTCTGGCATGCGTGCCATAGGTTCGCCACCACTGCGTATAGTCCAACACATTAATCCAGCGGTTCTCAACCTGTGGGTCGGGACCCCATTTGGGGTCGAATGACCATTTCACGGGGGTCGCCAAACAACGCAGTCCGTCATTTTTTCCCATTTCCCTTAGCTGTGCTACTCCCTTTTATTCTATTGGCTTTTGAAAGCCAATAGAATAGACTCTCTTGAATAGAGTCTAATTCCATTGGCTTTCCAAAGCCAATAGGAATTGTCCAGGCTATCTCTGCCCTGCTGAGCCCGCCAAAAGTCCCAGTCTGCAAACAGTGCTGCAAGTTGTCAGCAGCGAAGGCGAGTTGTCTGGAAGTTTCCACCCCTCCCTGCTGAGCAACTACTAAAAATCTAAATAAAAGAGGGCCAGGGGTGGGAGGTGGGAGGCCGGTGGGCACAGGGAGGGTTGCTGGCACGTGTGGGGCCCGCCGTGTGCCTTACCTCCCTTGGGCTGGGCCAGCTGGTGGCCCAGCCAATGGTCGGCCTGCGCCGTCTCTGCTGCTTGCCATCTACGCCTCGGCTGGTGCAGGGGGCGGCACCACGCATGAGCGGCGCTCCCGGGCAGGGAAAGTCCTCGACTTAGGACCAGTTGGGTAGTCCTTGATTTACGACCAGTTGGGGGTCGCGGCATTAAAAAGGTTGAGAACCACTGCATTAATCAAACAATAGATGCAGCGATTTGCAAAAAAACCCCCAAAGGAACCGTCCTCAGCAGCTGCAACCTTGAAAATAATCCAAGGTCGTTTTCATTTTACCCAGATTCGGAATTTGAGCATCATGGTGAATGGACTGGAACAGTTGGATAAGAATAACATCCTTGCAGTTCGCCGAGAAGTTGCAGCTCTGCAGGCTAAATTGCGAGAGTGTGAAAAGGAGCGAAACCAGACTGTCAAACATACCTACTTCCCACCTGGTAAAGTATTTTTTGTTTTTTTTAATTTTTAAACGGAAATGTTAGGAGCAGGGAAGGGATCCAGGAACGGAAGTTGGCCCGGTTTCCTTGCTCAGAGTGCCTAGTAAATATCAACAAAGGATAGTTTCATAAATCCATAGAAAGTGATTTAAGGATCTGTATTATGATGTTCAAACTGGTCAGTCCTAGAGGAGATCAACCCTGACTGCTCTTGAGAAGGCCAGATCCTGAAGTTGAAACTCAAGTACTTTGGCCACCTAATGAGAAGGAAGGACTCCCTGGAGAAGAGCCTGATGCTGGGAAAGATGGAGGGCAAGAGAAGAAGGGGACGACAGAGAAGGAGGTGGCTGGATGGAGTCACAGAAGCAGTAGGTGTGAACTTAAATGGACTCCAGAAGATGGTAGAGGACAGGAAGGCCTGGAGGAACATTGTCCATGGGGTTGCAATGGGTTGGACACGACTTCGCATCTAACAACAACAAATTATGATGTTGCTCTAAACCCATTGATTCAAGCCATGATCTTCTCCAGGTTGTCCTGCAGTGATTGAGAAAAAGAAACATTAGAGATGAGAATAGAATAACAGATTTGGAAGGCATCTTGAAGGTCTTCTAGTCCAACAACCTGCTCAAGCAGGAACCCTACATCATTTCAGACAGATAGTTGTCCAATCTCTTCTTAAAAACCTCCACTGTTGGAGCATCCACAACTTCTGTAGGCAAGATGGTCTATTGATTACTTGTTCTCACTGTCAGGAAGTTTCTCCTTAGTTCCAGGTTGCTTCTCTCCTTCATTAGTTTCCATCTGTTGCTTCTTGTCCTGCCTTCTGGCACTTTGGAGAAGAGCTTGACTCCCTCTTCTTTGAGGCAGCCCCTGAGATATTGGAACATTAGCTATCATGTCACACCTAGACCTCCTTTTCATTAAACTAGAAATACCCAATCAATAGGTTTGATGAAACAGAACTTCTGCCAGTCTGTCTACTTCTTGGTATGTTGAAATTCAGAATTTGGTACCAACATGGTCCTTGGTTATAATGAGTAGGCAATTGACAACGTGTCTGTAAATACTAATACTAATAGTAATACTAATACTAATACTAATACTGATAATAATAAAGTTGGAAGGGACCTTGGAGGTCATCTAGTCCAACCCCCTGCTCAGGCAGGAAATCCTATACCATTTCAGACAAATGGCTGTCCAGTCTCTTCTTAAAAACTTCCAGGGTTGGAGCATTCACCACTTCTGGAGGCAGGTTGTTCCACCGGTTAATTGTTCTCACTGTCAGGAAATTCCTCCTTAGTTCTAGGTTGCTTCTCTCGTTGGTTAGTTTCTCTCCGTTGCTTCTTGTCCTGCCTTCAGGTGCTTTGGAGAATAGCTTGACCCCCTCTTCTTTGGAGCAGCCCCTGACATATTGAAAGACTGCTATCATCTCCCCTCTCGTCCTTCTCTTCATTAAACTAGACATGCCCAATTCCAGCAACCGTTCTTTATATGTTTTAGCCTCCAGTCCCCTGATCATCTTTGTTGCTCTTCTCTGCACTCTTTCTAGAGTCTCAACATCTTTTTGACATCGTGGTGACCAAAACTGGTCACTGATCCAAGTATGGCCTTACCAAGGCCTTGTTGCCAGATTAAAGTTGCCTATGGGTGGCTATATAAATTGAATTAACAAATTAACAAGTAATAAAAAATAAACCCCAACTACATCCAAAGCGCAGATTAGAACCAAGAAAAAGAATGAAATTGACAGGCACATTACGTCAGAAAATCATCTGGCATAAAAGCCATTTAAAAAAGGCTGAATAAACAAATCCAGTCAGCGCTGAATTGAGGTGTTCCATTTTTCCAATATGGCTCCCGGCCTGAAAAAGCTTGAAGTTATATATGGGCCTCCTGACACTAATTGCTATTGACAGGCTATTTCCTTTATGAATTTGTTTCATCTGCTTTTAAAGCTATTAAAGTCAGCTATTATTCCTTCTTTTGGAAGCGAATACTGTAATGTATTTGGTGTATGTGCGACGAAGTAGTTCTTTTTGTCTTTCCCAAATCGACAACCATTTAGCAACTCTGGATGACCCTGGATGTTGCTATTGTGACAAAGGCATCATAAAAAGAAGCCTTCATCTCTTATTTTTTTTTCCCCCTCGACATGATGCACAATTTTATACATCTCTATCAAGTCGTCTCTTAGATGCACTCTTTTTTTCTCAGCTTAAAAGTGCCACTGGTGGTAACCCTGGGGAATTGTTCCAAATTGTTGATCATTTTGATGGGCCTTTTATGCATCTCTTACACATCCTCTCCCAACACTACAATGGTTTCGCGGAGACGCAGGCGATAAGAATAGTGCAGAATTCTGAGTGTGTAACACTCGGTAATCACGAACTGAAGAGCCCTTAGCTGGCGGCTTTACACAAATGTAGATTCAATATGTGTGAGGTTAGCTCTATGAGAGACAACTGATTAATTGATTGATTGATTGATTATATCCCATCAAGTGCATGCTGACTGTCAGGGGCAACAGGGATAGATTTTATCCAGATCTTATTTCTAGCCTGGTCTTGCAGATCTTCCAAAAGGTTGAGAAGGATTTGCAGAATCGACTCCCGTTATCGCAACTAGGCGATCGTGCTCTTCCCCTTCCTGCTTATAATTCTGAGATTAAAATAAGGTTTTGGCTCACTTGCAACTAAGCTTGCAAACTTAACCTGGATACTTCTTATTTCTGCCATGGGTAACTTGCCACAGTCAACTCACCACAGCCAACTCGGCATGGCCGTGTTGCCGTGGGGCAACTCACTGCAGGAAAATTCAACAATTCTATTTCCTTATTTAAAATAAATAAATAAAAATATTTTAAGTTTTGCCCTTCAGATTTCATTCTTGTCTCTCCTTTGGCATCCTTTGAGATTCTCAGTCATTCAGGTCATAGTTAACCCAAAGGTGTGTTTTTTTTTCTTGTTTTTCTTTGAAGACGTTTCTCTTCTCGTCCAAGAAGCTTCTTCAAGCTCTGACTGGATGGTGGGGAATGGAAGGATTTATACTCCTTGCAGACAGCTACTCATTTGCATCCTTTTAGAGCAGACACATCAAACTCGTGACATTATGTGACGTCACGAAACGTATCGGGACCCCGTTGCCGGCAATGGGGTGGGCGTGGCTTCTGGATGACATGTCCGGTCTGTGGGCTGGCAGTTTGACACCCCTGTTTTAGAGAGTTGTTAGGGCGACTTGGGGGTTTATCTCTAGCCTCAGTATCACCTGAGTGGTGCAGTCAAACGCTGAGGACACAAAAAACCCTCCAGTGGCCTCAACAACTCTCAACAAAAATGACCAGCCGTTTGCAAGGAGTATAAATCTTTCCATTCCTCACCATCCAGTCAGAGCTGAAGAAGCTTCTGGGATGAGAATGGAAATGTCTTCAAAGAATAATAAGAAAGTCCCATGAGGACACAGATAAACCTCCAAGTGGCCTCACCGACTCTCTCAAAGAAGGCAAATGAGCAGCTCTCTACAAGGAGTATAAATCCTTCCATTCCCCACCATCCAGTCAGAGCTGAAGAAGCTTCTTGGACGAGAAGAGAAATGTCTTCAAAGAAAAACAAGTAAGTCCAGTTGCCTCGTGAAAAAAGCACCTTTGGGATAGCTATGACCTGGATGACTGAGAATCTCCATAGATATATTGGTAATAGTAGATCTCTCCATTGTGAAAATGCCTTCCATTTACCCATAATTGACTCCAGCATTCGTTGGAGATGGACGTTTATCCAAAACCTTTTGGATGCAGAACAACAGATCATACCAATCCATCTCTGAATCTCTCAAAGAGCCATATGTTTATATCACACTAAAGAAATGGATCCTGGAAGATAGTGTAGGCCAGTGATGGCGAACCTTTTAGAGACCGAGTGCCCAAACTGCAACCCAAAACCCACTGATTAATCGTCAGGTGCCGGGTAGGTGTGGCCCATTGGGTGGACGTGGCCCATTGGGTGGGCATGGCCCATTGGCTGGGCATGGCTGCGGTGGTAACGGCAGACTGGGTGGGACTAAAAAGTTCAATCAATCAATTCCAACTTTGCAAGATCTTTTTTTTCCCGCGAGAAGTTGAAATTGATTGATTGAATCTTTTTTTTTTTTTTTTGCTCACGGCGGCGGAGGCCTAACCAAAAAGGTTTTATAAAACCCAGCTGAAGGCCTAGGACTGGGGCAATTGTGCGCGTGCCCACAGAGAGGGCTCTGAGTGCCGCCTCTGGCACCTGTGCCATAGGTTCGCCACCACTGGTGTAGGCTGTAGAAAGAATTTTAGTAAGGAATCTCACATAATCCCAAGAGCCAGCTCTAGATGACGTATTAGAGTCTGTATTAGAAGACCTAAATCATATATTTCTTCCATCAGCCTTCTGCACAACCCCCTTCTTTATTATTTATTTGTTTGATTAGATTTATATGCCTTCCCATCTCAGATGCTTGACTCTGGGTGGCTAACAATATTAAGAATAATAAAAACATAAACACATACACATAGCAGGCAGGATTTTTTTTTTTTATAAAACCATCAATCACTCTGCGCAAATAAGATGGAAGCTTCATCAGATACCTGAGTCCCAGGCTTAAGCACAGAGCCATGCCTTCAAGGCCTTATGGAAGGCCAAGAGGGATGGGACCAAACTAATTTCCAGAAGTAGGATAGTCTAGAGATCAGCAGAAAAAGCTCTCCTTTTGGGTCGTACTAACCAATGTTCCTTAAAGGCCTTGAGTAGATCCCTTCTGGTGGATTGGAGGGCATGGGTAGAACCAACCAGGGACAGAGAGACTCATACGTAGTCAGACCCAAGTCACTTCGTAAGGGACAACACATCAACGGACCTTGTCACACTCTAATGCTCTCAACAGACCCATTCCCAAATTCCAATCACTCACGACAACTATTACTTCATTCTGGCTCCTAATAATTACTGAATAACAGAATGAGAGAATTAGAAGAGTCTTTG